GGTTGGGGAAGGGGGGCCGGTGCAGGGCTGCCGCCCCGCCAGGCACACGTCGCCCTGGACGTGGTTGTCGCCGGGGTGAGAGGACACAAACGTCGGCACACAGAGAACAGGGGCCTGCGGGGCCCGAGCAGCGGCAGCCGGGGGGGCTTTGCCCCGGGATCAGGTCGGTCCCTGGCCCCTCGGGGACCGCTCTGTAACCTCCGGGGCCGAGCCGCGGGTAGCGGTGGGTTTCGCCTGGCTGAGGTTCGGTGGTACGGGCTGGTGCAAGTTACTGACAGGAGGAGAAAGTTGAGGAAACGCGGCGTGTAACAGCCAGGCTTTGGTGAAGCGTTTAGTTATGTGGTGTTCAGGCTGTGTTCTGTAACGACTTTTTGTGTAAGTGCGGTTACAGAGAGGAGGAGAGAAACGTTACTGAGTTGGGAGCAAGGGAGAGAAATGTGTCTTTGACTCAAAACGATCTGTTGGCAGAGCAGGGGTACCGTTGGAGGAGGCAGTGCCTGCAGGTGGAAAAACTCCTGCACCAACAGCAGGCGGGCAACTGCTGCCAAAACGTGTAATGCTGAAACTTCGGTACTTGCATGTGTGTGTGCAAGCGGCACGTTGTGCTTTATCTGTCCCTTTCTCAGCTTGTTGGCGCTTTGTGGCAAAACCTGTTGCAGGATGTGTTTTTCTAAGTGAATCAGGCCAAGGATTTGATCAGCTTTGTTATGCTTTTTCATTTTCCGCTCTTACTTTGTGAATTCCTGTAAACCTTGACGTAGATTTTCAGATCTATTCTTTCGAACCTGTCCTGAGCGTGACAGGCTCTTTGCCTTTACTTAATATTTGTCCCTGAATATTTGTCATGATATTTTTTTGTCTCTGGCTGGTTTGTGGCGGGAATAACTTTCTTCTGTCTATTTTTCCCCAGAAAACATGAAGGAAGTGAAGGAACCGAGGCATCGCAAAGACAACAGGCGCCCAGACCTGGAGATTTACAAGCCTGGCCTCTCCCGACTCAGGAGCAAACTTGTGCCACCAAAGCATGAGGCCGCAGAGAAGGAGAGAAGCAAAGCTGAGGAGGGCAAGGAGGAGAGTGCCAGTGACAAGTGCTCTTTGGGAGGAGGTGCTCCAGTCGTGGAGGATTTTGGCAAATGTGATGGCCCAAAGCAGAATGGTCCTTCACAGGAAAATGAAGAGACAGAGACTAAAGGTGGTCTGCAGGGCCAGGAGAACTTGTCTAAGCAGCCTGCTCCAGATGAGTGGTGTCCCAAGACCACCAGAAGAAGCAAGAAGCCGGACCAGCAGATCTACCAGCCAGGGAAACGTCTGCATTCAGCTGCAAAAGAGCCATCCCTGCGGTCAGCTACTGAGGAAGTCACCAGTAAGATGGAGCAGCTGAAGGTTGAGAGAGTTGAAGAGACTGAGGAAGGTACTGTAAAAGACAATAACAGGAAAACCAAATCAAGCAAGGAAGATAGAGAAGGGAGCCAAGTAGGGGAAGGAGTGAAAACCTCAAGGGGAGAAAAAGGGAGACGAATAGAGCGAAGCGACAGGGTAAGGAGAACAAGCGATGAGGTGATGCAGGGGAAGCTGGGCTCTACCAAACGGTACTCCCGCTCTGACAAGCGGCGGAGCCGGTACCGCACCTGCAGCACGAGCTCAGCTGGAAGCAACAACAGCGTAGATGGAACCCCACTCGTGGACGGGGTGGAGAGGCGGCAGGAGCGTGTCAGAGAAAGAATACGTCCTAGGAAGCAGCTCTCTGCATCCTCCACTGACTCCTTGGACGATGACAGAATCGATGAGGCAGAAGCATATGTCTGCAAAGAAAAAGCATTCAGAGCAGAGTCGAGCTTCTAGGAGCGAGGGCGAATGGAGCAGCAATGGCAGGGAAATCAAGGGGCCCTTTCGAGTCACATTTGACAGCAAGACCGTGAACAGGGATATCAGTCTGGCAGATACAGATAAAAAAAAGCCCCTGAAGGCATTTGTTAGTTGCAATGACTCAGAGGCTTCGGAGGCGAGGAGCCAGAGCAGAGAGCCTCAAGGGAGGGGCCGTGGGATTCTGTTCCTGCCTGCCAACACGGACCTCTCTGCCAGCACCGCGGGCTCCCCTGAAGCCAGTCACCCTGGGCCCAGGCTCCTGCTTGGCGGGGCTGGAAGTAAAGGCTCTCGCAGCAGGGGCCGAGGTGGCACTGCTCGCAGGCTCTGGGACCCAAATAACCCAGACCAAAAACCTGCCCTGAAGAGCCAGACTGCTCAGCTTCACTTTCTAGACACAGATGATGAAGTGAGCCCCACCTCCTGGGGGGAAGCCCGCCAGGCCCAGACATCCTACTATAAGTTCCAAAACTCTGACAATCCCTACTACTACCCTCGGGCCTCCGGTCAAGGTCCCCAGTATCCTTACAGCGGGTACTCCCTGCAGTATCCTATGGGTCCAAGCAATGGTGCGTACCCAGGAGCCTACTACCCTGGATACCCTGGCCAGACGGGCCAGTACATGTGTGGCCCACTCCCCCCAACTCCTCTGAGTCCTGAGATGGAGCAGCAGATGCGGAACATGCAGCAGCAGGAGCTCAGCAAACTCCTCCGTGAGGCTGGGAACCAGGAGCAGCAGCTCAGCAATCTGCTTTCCAGAGACCGCATCAGTCCGGAGGGGCTGGAGAAGATGGCCCAGCTGAGGTTTGTGGCTGTGCTGTAGAGGGATGTGTGAGCGAGTCATTTCCAGGATGAACTACCAGGACTGTTACCGAGAGAATGGTGTCTCCTTGGAGATCTGGCATATTGGAGACATCAGCGTCTCGGAGATTGGGGGATGGGACAGTGATTCGCTAGCTTTTGATATGCTGGGTCTGTTTGTCATGTGCCAGTGGTGTGTGGGTATCAGAAGGAAACTGGGGGTGAAGATGTAATTTGCCTGGGCTGGGAGCTAACCTGTGGCTTCTTGTGGTTGTGGAATGCCTTGCCCATGTCGCAGGGGTGCAGAGGAGCGGGACAAGCACCTACTACGGCTCTTGGGTTCTTCTTGCTCTTGCTGGAGCTGATCTCTCAGTTCCAGTGCTCTCACATACTTTCAGTATTTGCTGACAGACTTCTGCTTTCTTAGCTGTCTGCAGTTATCTACTGTCTGATTTGCATTGTGGGCTTCAGGGGCGGCGACTGTCGGCTTATGCTTGGAAGCATTGCTTGGGTTCCTGGTGCTGTGTAACGACGACAGCGCCTTTCAAGCACTGGGTGGTTTTGCTTCTGATACCGCTCAACCCATTGACACACAGCAATCCAGTGGGATTAGCCTGGTGATGCCAGCTAGTGAGAGGGAGGTGACACTGGTGCACTGGAGGATAGTTAACATGGCTGTAGTGAGTTTCTGCTTGGTATCTTTCACATTTACTTGCCACCTCCATGTCTCCAGGGCTTCTCTGAAGGCTTATTTTCAGAGCTGAGTGACAGCAAATCTGGCACGTGAGTTCATTTCAGGGCTTCTTCTGTGTTTTGGGGACTTGCGCTATGGACCACAGGATGGGATATGCCTGCACTTGAAGCAGCACTGGAGGTTTCAGATGTTCCTCAAGGTGTCCAGGTCACCCAGAGCTATTGTCTGGAGGGAGAGGAAAGGCTGGACAGTGCTGCTGTGGCCTGTATGAAGCCCACCCTGCCCTGGGAGCGTAGGCATGGTTGTCCCCATCCCTGCCAGTGGTGTCCCTCTGTCTCGGTGTGTCTCCTACCTGTGTCTGAGTGCGTGCTGCCAGCCTGTCTGCGGAGCCGTGGTGGGACTTTTCGGTGCAAGTGCTGCTTATCAGACATCCATCTGCAGAAATGTCTAATTCTCTTGGTCGCTGTGCTGTCCAAGCGTGTGTGTGTGCAGGGTTTGGGGACTGCATGGGGTAGGACAGGAGAACGATGCTCTGTGCTTTGCACAGGAACCTGCCAGCATACTTTTCTTCTTCTGTCAGGCTATTCCAGATATTGCCATCTAGCTTTGCTCCAGGCTTTACCATCTATGCTGTTGTACCGTTTTCTGTAGGCTCAAAGCATTATAAGAGATAAGGCTGCCAAGGCAGTAACAGCTGAGGATCCCCTTTACTGTAAACTTGCCTGACATATTGCAGAGCTGTTTCTAGCCTGCAACTATTTTATTAAATTCAGGGGAGGCATTCTACTCCAGTCCAGGCAAGGCTGTAGGTAGCTGTTGAGGGGAATGTGATTTCTGGGACTCAGAGGCTTTATTTCCTTTGGGTGTGATGTTCCCAGCTCTCGTTCATTTTTGAGGAAGCAGGGTCTCTGTTTCTGCTCTGTAGTGTGGTTGGATGGAAGGGAGATGGGGGCCATTTTAATGGCAAGATCTCTCTTGCCCTCTGCTTCTTTGTGTGTTTATTCCTGGCCCGTAGTAGCCAGACTTTGTGCTCAGAAGGAGCAAAGCCTGGCAGTGCACTCTTTTTCTATGTTAGCATCAGGAGACACTTGTGCCTTGCTATTCCCACTGGCAGAACCATAGCAGAGCTCCTTGCGCTTTGCCAGGCCCTGATCCGTTCTGATGCATATGTACAAGGGAGATGGTCCTTTCAGATTTGCCCTCTTGGAGCAGGAAGGGTGTTTGTTTGCAACAGTTTCCATCTCCCTCTGGGACGTGTGTGGAAGCATTGATTTACCATAGCGTGTGAGCCGACTGGACTGCTGACATCTCCTGCTTTCTGGATGAAGCAGCAGGTGGCTCAGGACACACTCCCTGGCAGCTCAGGTCCAGGCTGGGCAGTTGCTGTTGTATTGACCGCTGATTGTGTTTCGCTGTAGGGTGGAGATGCTGCAGCTGTACGAACGGTGCATCCTGATGGATATCGAGTTCTCTGATACCCAGAATGTGGACCAGCTGCTGTGGAAGAATGCGTTTTACCAAGTGATTGAGAAATTCCGGCAGCTCCTCAAGGACCCTCAGGGGGAAAATGCCCAAGAAATTCGGAACAAACTGCTCCAGCTTCTAGATGAGGTAGGAAGAGGGAAACATCCTGAAACTCCGCTAAACCTTTGGGTGGGATTGACTGCTGTTTAGAACGGTGTGATGTAACTGGGCAACTAGCCTTCTTGATCCTACTCATGTCTCTGTGTCCCTTAGGCCATCCTTGTGCAAGGAAAATACTCAGACAGGCTATGGTTTAGTGTGGCGGGTATAGGTCCAGGTGGACATTTCTTACAATTTAAATCAGGCTTGTTTTGGTGTGTTTTATGTTAAATAAAAATTGATTTAAACTAAAACTGAATTAATGCCCTGAAGTGGAAATAAACAGAAGCATTCCTGGAGGTGTTTGTGCCATCTTTACCAAATTTGCTCAAAAGTTATTCTGTTAAACTGTGTAACTCAGTGTGCTCTTTGTAGAAGGTAGGCTGATGGATCCAAGAAGATGCGTTTTATAGAATTAGGTTTGTGGGAAGGGACTGCTGGAGGGCTTTAACCCAACCTCCTGCTCAAAGCAGGACTCCCCAAACACTAGATCAGGTCAGTCTTGATTTTGTCTAGCTCAGTCTTGAAAACCTCTGAGGTTGGAGATCCCCTGACCTCCTTGTTGTTTTCTGAAGAGAAACAGCCCAAACCTCAGGGAGAGGGACCTTCTTTCTTGCATGCGGCAGGGACGGTGTGGTGATTTTATGCTCATCATCAGAAAGATTGTAACATCCAAGTACGTGTGTGTTTTGCAGGGCACTTCTTTTTTTGATGGCCTACTCCAAAAGCTGCAGGTGTCATACCAGTTCAAGCTAGAGGACTACATGGATGGGATGGCCATCCGCAGTAAGCCACTGAGGAAAATGGTAGGTTGGCTTCCTCCTGGAGACTTCTCATCCTGTTAATCGTATGCAGCATGCTGAACTCAATGTGCTGCCCTTGCCAAGAGGTAGGCAGCTGTACTCTGAACAGATGACGGTATGTTTGCAGAGAATCTTTCTCAGCTGCTAGAGAACTTGTTGAACCAACTCTGGTATATTAACATTTCTTAGCTTCCTTTGCGACGAATAACTTTTTTTTTTTTGTACCAGCTCTGTGACTGGGCCTAATAAAGGGAAAGAAGTGTCCAAAGGTACCCTGGCTTTGCCTTGGGTACTGAACATCTCTTATTTCTGTCTGTGGAATCCAGAATAATGAACAAGGAAAGCTAACAGTTGCACTGCCTCCCTAACACTTGACGACAGTGCATTGCTCTGAGCTGTGAGTGCAGGTGCGAGGGACAGCTGGGAAAGGATATTTTAGTCCAGCTCCGTTCCCAGAGAGATGTATTTGTCTAACAGCTGTCCTCAAATTGGTCATGGACTGAACAACTCTCTTCTGGAGAGAGATGGGACGTTGTTGTAAAAGAGGAGGTGTTTAGGGGATTGGCTTGCCCCTACAAATGCTGAACCAGTGCCATAGAGCCTTGTTATTTCATTCTGCTGCCCTTTCGTGAGACCTTCAGTGTGTCAGCAACCTCCTCTTAGCTCTCTACAGTCCCTGTGCGCTCACTGGGTCTGCAGGTGAGCCAGGGCTGCGCAGGTCCCACATGATGTACTGAATGCTTCTTTCCAGGTGAAATATGCACTGATCAGTGCTCAGAGGTGTATGATTTGTCAAGGGGACATTTGCCGTTACAGAGAACAAGCAAATGACACCGCAAACTACGGAAAGGCACGCAGGTATTGTGTTCTTCACTGTAGTGCTGAACGCATCTCTTCCTCTGTTTACAAGGGATGTATCTCATTTCACGCTTAAACTTACCTCTAGCCAAAGAAGTCTTTCCATACCTCTTTACTGTATTGCAGTCCTGTGAAGCTGAAAGATGTAGCCTAGTCGGTTTTGGTGTCTCAGAGAGCAGGCCAGCAGATCCAGCCATCTAATGTGGAAGCTGCCCTATGCTGACCCTGTAGCAGGGAGAGTTTATGCTGTTGAGGCTGGCAGAATGGCTGTTGTATTTTATAGCAGCTTTTCAACTAGGAGTTGAAAATGTATGTGTCCATATGTTCTGTCTGCATCAGGAGTTACTGGCACTTGTTGCTTCCTGTAACTCTTGTTTTTCTGATGTTTCTTCTGGAGCTGGTGGGGAGGCAAGTGAGCACAGCGTGAGGGATGGAGTCCTAAAATCTGTGGAGGTTTGGAGAACAGGACAGGGAAAGCTGCCGATTTTGGGGTCTGTGGAGATTGTGAAGTATGTTGATATCTCAGGGAGGCTGGGGGGATCATAGTGGGTTCATGATGTGTCTGAACAGTGTTGATGGATCCGTGTGGCATGGTGTAAGCTGGAGAGTGGATAATACAATTGAGGGAAAATAGAGAGGAGAATGAAGGGATGAACAGATGCCACTGAACGGATGCCTCCTCTCCTGGGATGATTAAGTATCTTGAAAATTCAGGCAACAAGCTAAGGCACATGGAGGGTTTGATCCCAGCTGCCATGGAGCTAAAAAGGGGACCAAGAGAGAAATGTTCCCTGAACAGCCTGTTCTCTCTGCCTGAGACTGCACAGGGGTCTGGCTAAATGCTTATCTTCAGGCTGAGCCAAAAACGTTTCCTTCAGCAGCCGTATCTACCCCTCTCTCTTGTGCTGTGCCCCAGCTGCCTGTCGAGGCCAGGCACAGGCTGGGGGCCTCTGCATGCTCTTGCAGGCAGAGGGCACTTGTGTAAAGGGCCTGTTCCCTGCAGCACTGCCAGCGCTGCGCTGCGAGGGGAATTCTGCACCCTTAACAGCAAGGAAGGCAACCTGATGTCCTTTTGGTAAACTTTCTTTCTGGTTCTTCCCTTCCTCAGTTGGTACCTGAAGGCTCAGCAAATTGCTCCCAAAAACGGCCGCCCGTACAACCAGCTGGCTCTTCTGGCCATCTACACGGTAAGATGATCATTAGGGATATAACAAGCATAGGGAGAGCCTCTGGGATGGCTGTGAGATTCCACTTGGTGGAGAAAAACGTTGTTTAGGGTGTTGCTCCCAGATGTTTGTTTTAAAAAAGAAAAATGCTGATGGCAGGATGTGCTGTGTAGATTCCAGCTGCTGTGGATTCAGGCAGCTTTGTTAGCCTGAGGGAGTAGCATGTGTCTGTTGGCATTTTGGGGGCTGTTCTGCGGACTGTTGAGAGTGCAAATGTTTTAAAAGTGAGTTGTGTTTAAAGTTTTACGTGAGATTTTTGTGCTCAAGGCCATGCTATTACGAAGATGCTGTTTCTGTTTGCCATCTCTGCATTGAACCTGTGGGCACTGGTCTAAGCGACATCCACACATGACTTGCTTAGGTTTCAGTTACACTGGCTACTCCAGCCATGCAGGAGAACTTACTTCAAGAAGATGTGATGGCACATAATAGAAGCATCAGGCCAGGACACCGGGGCTGGTAGGGATCTGCCTGTTCACAACACTGAAAGATGCTGGTTTAAAGCAGAGCAGTTCAGAACCGCAGGGTTCAGAAGCACGTTTCCTTCATGGCTGGGAGTGACATTTGACTCCTAGTGTGGGACTTGGAGCAGCAAAGTGTCCTGCTCACAGTGGTGGTTTGTAAGGCCAACAGCATGCAGGCAAAACCCTAAACAGCTGTGTGTCTTGGTAGCATAAAGACTTGGGGAGTGCCTTCTCACAGTATTCCCTGTGGCCAGCCTGTGGGAGAAAAGATGCTGAGAAGTTGCTCGAGTGTGAGGGACTTAGCCCTGAGGCAGGCTGAAATGAGGGGGACATCCTGCCACAGCACTGGCAGGAGTCTGGCAAACCCTCCCGTCTTCCTAGGCCTCTGCTCTTTGTAAAACTCATGTGGAGTCATTTCCATATTCAGAGTAATACTGAAAAGAATTATTTCCTGAACTCTCGGGAATTCAGTATTTATACCTTTGCCCTTTACTGTGATGTCTAGTGAGAGGCTGTTTTGTGTGAGGCTCTGGGTTGATGGCTTCTGTAGAAACCTCAGGGCTAGAGTAAGGGAATCTGGAGGCTGCAGTGTCACCTGCGGTCCCTAACCCTGGCGAAGGGCTTGTGCTTTGTGCTGGTGGTTGTAGGTACCTGTGAATGTCGATGGAGAATTCAAGGTCCTACTTGTCATAGTGTTTGTCGGCATGTCTCCGTCTATCCCAGGCAGTATTGAGGGACAGGACACGTGTATTGAGGGAGAGGGAAGGCAAAGTATGTAGGAGCTTGGCTCTGAATGCCCCAGAATGAGTGGTAGCTCTCAGTCTGGTTGTGTTTTTGCAGAGGAGAAAGCTGGATGCTGTCTACTATTACATGCGCAGCCTGGCTGCTAGCAACCCCATCCTCACAGCCAAGGAAAGCCTCATGAGTCTGTTTGAAGAGACAAAACGCAAGGTGAGTCTTGGAGCTGGGCTGTGGGATGCTGCAGCTGCCCGTGCTAACTGTCCTGTGCTGGAGAGCTGTTGTCCAGAGAGGAGGGTGATGGTGGCATTTGGACTTGGAGGCACCACTTACCTACTTCTAAGAAATTCCATATTGGGAGTCAGATGAGAGAGGCAGCCTTCAGAATGATGGTGTCTTTTCTACTTCTCGTCAGACTGCTTTTGGGGTTGTTTGAGCAGCTGAATCTCCTGGATCACAAACTGGAAAACAGCCAAGCTCAGCAAGGGCTGTAGGTTCGCAGCATGATCGTTGCCTTATTCCATAGATGCCCCACACCTGTAGGGGTGGGCAAGAGAGGCTGCAGTCCCTTTGTGCGTGGGAGGGTCACCCCAAGTCAAAGATACAGCATGTTGGGTGTCACACACTCCTAGCATTGGACACAACTTTTCTTGTCCCAGAGCAGCTGGAGATGAAGACCTCTCACCTGCACTGTCCTGTGGTGTCAGAAACCAAATTCTGGACCTGTCAGTGAGTCACTGTGGTTCTGAAGCAGGGGGAAGGGCTAATTTCTCCATGTAAATGAAATGATGTACTTTTCCTGAACTTTGATCCCTGAGTGATCTGAATCTGTCCTGTCTGCCCAGGCTGAGCAGATGGAGCAGAGAAAACATCAGGTGCTGGATCTGAGCCCCAGCCGCCGAGGGAAGGGCAAGAAGTCTACATTGCGACAAGTTGGAGATGATGCCACACGGCTGGAGATCTGGATCCATCCCTCCCACCCCCGCTCCTCCCAGGGCCACGAGTCCGGCAGGGATTCTGAGCAGGACAACGGTCTTGGGAACCTCAGCCCCAGCGACGTGAGTACTGCAGGAGGCGGCAGTTGGCTTTGGTGTCATGTGTTTGGAATGCAGTGGAATGACACTGGATTTGTTTTGCTTTCCTGTTGCTAAATTTTCCAGTGTTTTGGCTTCCCCTATGGGAGCTGTGCCTGGGTCAGACTGAGGAGCTGGTGACCTTGTGCCTCTCATGTTTAAGGCATGTTGTTACCATCCGTTTCTTGGCAGCATGTGCTGGTGGGGCTGATACGGAATAGGAGAGGCGCAAACAGAAGATGCTGTAAAATGCCTCTGCTGAGGGCTCTAACTTGGGTGAGGTTGCTGGTGGGAAGTGAGGTGAGATGCTGAAGACCAGGGTTAACCTTGACCCTGTGAGTTCTGAGGCTTGTTCTGGAAGTGGTTCACTTGTCCCAGTGCCAGATGATCGGAAGGTTGCGCTGGGAATGTGAAAACTGTGGTTTTTATTTCCAGTGTAGGTGTTATATTTGTGTTACTTGTTCTGCTGAGAGGCCAGACTAGTGCCTTTCTTTTGCAAGAATAAAAAAATAATTGATTAACAGTATCTCTTGTCAGTCTGAGCTGTGTACCTTGCAAAAGCAGCCCGAGTGAACTCTGTTTGTCAGGCGCAGGAAAAAGGTGGTTGGGAGCTCATCCTCTAGGAATCCTTGCACTGCTTTGGCACATGCAGCTTGCAAGAGAACTTGCCAGGGAGCTCTGGGCTGCCTGTCCTAAAATGGCTGTTAAAGATGCGAGTTTAGCAGTACTGGGAAGACCTTCACCGCATACTGCGGGGCTCAGAGCTTCTCAGATATGATTGCACTTTCATAACTAGTTTGTGACTTCAGCTGGGTGGAACTGGGGTGAAATCTTGGAGCTTTGAAAGATAAGCTCTGGCACATTGCTGCAGCATTTTTAAGATGTTACTGTCCTTGGTTGTTTTCCCTCTCCTCAGCTTCTCTTCTGGAGACCTTTGCTTCCTCAGCATCATTGAAAGGAACATGCCAAGCTTTAGCCTCTCCATAAATCATTGATGAAGATGCTTTGACATAAGATGCTGTGAGTGTTTTTGAGGCACTAGGGGTTTCTCTTTTGCAGCGCTCCCATGTGAGGAAGCGTAATGGTTGGCGAAGCAGGGGGCAGTGATGTCTTCTTGTTGATAGTGCAGTTGCTAGAGCTTGCCCTTGGTCTGTTCTGTGGGGGGCTGTGCTCTCTGAAGCGCAGGTTGCTGGCAACGCCTGTACAGATTGTGTGTCTGATTACTACCATTAGTCTTGATTTCTTCTTCTGTTTCAAGTGTTGGCTCGTGGAAAGCACAAGCTTTCTGATTGTGGAGAGGCTACATGATCAGAAACGTAATGGCAAAAAGGGCAGGAGTTGCAGAGGGCCCAGGTTTGGGCACTGCTGGTTTTGGCAACCAAAATGTTTGTATTCAGGCTGCCTGTGCCTGCTGTGGCGCAGCACTGCGCTTGTGTTGGCACAACCGTTTATGAGGCTGTGCTTGGCCATGTCACTGAACCGAGCTGGGTTGAAAATAACCAGGTGAAAAGGAAACCTTAAATCTGCATCACTGCCAAAGCTCCCAGGCTATGAAGCTGTGGGCTGGATAAAGACAGCATCTCTTCGGGAAGCTGTGGGCTCCTTGCTCCTTGAAGCTACAGCCTCTTGCCCTCTTCCTCGCTGCATCTCTGGGTGGTTTGCAGCCCCTTCTGCGGAGGGCAGCGGGGTGTGCCGTCTGTTGCCGCTGTGTGGCGCTGTTCGCCCTCGGAAGGGCCCAGCCTGCAGCAGGGGCGGGCAGCAGCCCCCATCCTGGCAGCATCTCTGCCCCACATCCCCCTGCTCCCAGGGGCCAGTGCCATTTGGGGGAAATGAGTCTAAATATGTCATCGCCTCCTTGGTCCCTTCCTTGCCAGCTTTAAGCCCTTGAAAAGGCTGAGGCAAGCCGTGTTGTTTCATTTGTACAGCTGTGCTCTGCAGGTAGCTCCTCTGGCATCAGTCTTTATGGCAGCTGTTTCTGGGCCAGAGAAGGGAATTTGACAGGGCAGAATGGGGAAGTGTTCAGCTTCCAGAAGCAGATGTAACACTGCAGGTATAGACCTGAACAGCTCAGGACGCGTACTGGGCAGAAGTGTGGGAGAGAGGCTCCTTGCACCCTTCAGACAGAGGTTGTTGCTTCAAACCCGGCCCAAGCCAAATGTGACTGGTGTTTTTACTGTGGAGATGCTGGCTATTTCACAGGTGACAAGAAATTGATTTGGTATGTTTTCTGTCCTCAGTGGTTGCTTTCTTCGCTGTGCAGGCGGTTAGGTACCAGTCCTCTGATGTGGCACACTTGGCAGGGAGATGCAGAACGATTACTCTCCCAGGACCTGCTGATGTGTGCACTGTCCCCGTCAGCGAGCGGGGAGTCTGCTCAGCATGTGCTTGCGCCTCTCTTCTCAGTGCTGACTTTATTTTGCCTTATGCAACCCTCTACAAAGACACAAACATCGTTACTTTATTTCAGGGTTAGGAGCCAATTGAATGGAGCTAGTAAAGCGTGATGGCAAGTCTGCAGAAGGCCAGCTCACACTGCAGCCGTTGCTGTGACAAGGGAAGGTGGCGTGCAGAGTTGGCAATTTGCCTTGCGCTATGCGTTTAGGTAGAGGCCTGGCATACTACATCGTCTTTTCTAGGAAGATGCGAAACTAGAAGAGCGTACTGTCTGCCCACACTGAAGGGCATACATCTCCGTTTAGCCCCTTCCTCAGTAACGGGATTTGGCACTGCTGGCATGTAGGGCATGGGATGGTTTCAAAGCAAACTGAAGAAGTGTTTGGGTTGCAGCTTGGCTGTTTTGTGCTTAGATTTTTATCCGTTATGCCTGCAGCCTTTTGGGGTTTCATTCTGTGAATGGCTATTCTCTGTGGTCTCTAGCACGTTGCATGTTTCTAGGTGTGCGGTGGCAGGAGAGCCCAGGCTGACCCAGTACCCTCCTTACCTGGCAGTATCAGGTCACTTTGTGTGGGATTCCAATAAGAAATGCAAAAAAGGAGGTTGAACCAATGAGCAGTTGTGTTGCTTTTTTAAAAACAGCTGGATAGGGCAAAGGGAGCTGAAGGGCTGAATCTCTGCTATTTCTTCTCTGCCACTGGTTTCATTTGCCATGGGTCTGTATTGATCTTAAATCTGATAGTACCGTATACAGCTTACTGCGCGGACTGTGAATTGGTAAAGTAAACAGGGCAAATGGGCTGTCAGTCTCTTGAGAAAGTGTTAATATTACTCTGAGTTTGAGATTTTAATCACTCCTGTCCGGAAATGCTGAGTTAAGGTTCCCACAGTTGCTACTGCCTGCTGCCCATGCTCTGCAGTAGATACTTCCCTGTGTCACCACGCAGCGTGCATGCACTAATAAAGATTCCTCCATAGCTGCAGCTAAGATTAGGGAAGAGATGTTTTCCCTTGACAAGACAGTAATTGAATAATACTTCTCTCCAGATGTCTGAATGCTTTAGCATCATTAAAGAATTAGGTCTCCTAGCCCCTTTGTGAGAGGTCAATCTTGTAGAGCCATCAAAAGTTTGGTAGGGCCACCCAAAAAGCTCTTAGGCAAGTTAAGGCCAGGGTCAATATATGCTGTCTCAGCCCTGTGCATCGGCTGAAGGAACCTTCTCATTTCCCCCCAGCCTGCTGGCTAGGAACAGAGGTGTTACATTTGCCTGGTGCTGGGTGCCTGTGGAGCAACAACCAGGAACAGAGAAATCATTAGATCTGAAGTTCAGAGCAGGTTTTAACCTCTGTTTCTTTACACAGGCTTTCTTCTCAGCAGCAGGGAGTATGGACAGTGCATCGGGTTTCCACAAGTGAGCAGTAAATACCACCAGGAGGTCTAAAAAAAAAAGAGATCAAAGTTCTCTCAATAGGCTGAATAGGGAGGGTTTCTTACTTTTGTGTTTCTTCTTTGTTACCTACTGTACTCATCTTGGAACGTTATTATACATACAGGTGTGACTCTGTGCTAGTAGCGGGTGTGAGTACCAGGAAATAGAGCGGTGATGCTGGAACTCTAAGCGGTGTGTATCTTTGGGTGATTGATTGTATTTTCTTTCAGATGAGTAGTGCTGGTCTCTTTTGGACACCTTCATCTCCTTCCATCTCCCAAGTCCTAGAAAATCAGATGAGTGTCAAGCATGCAGGGAGGTGATCCTCTGCAGCTGGATGAGGGCAGTGTCTTCTCAAGGCAGTGGAGGCTGAGAGAGCTGTCCTGCTTTTTTCCCTCTAGGTCAGGATTTGGCTAACTGGGAGCTTATCCAGCAATGCCTGGTTGGGGCTATCTTTACAACTTACTGTGATTTGTTTCTCTCTGAGATGAGGTATCTCTAAGGATTCTCACCTTCTGTCTTTCTCAGTTCTTCTTACCTGCTTAGTTTTGTTTCTGACTTTGCCTGCCTCACCTGGGCACCGCGATGCTGCATCCACTTAGCTTCTGCAGCCCAGTTGCAGTCCAAGGCTGGAGAAGGCACACAACACAGGGAATGCCTGTGCATCCAGGAGCACTGGGGAGTCCTCAGGGCTGCCCAGGTCGCTGCATTAACAGAGGTCGCGTGTCCTTAGTGAACAGGGTCACTGTCCTAGTCGGCTCCTGTGTGTTTCACATCCATTTTTCCTTGGCGGTGTTTGTTGTTTCTGCTCTGTGCGCTTGTTCCTCTTGGGCAGCAGCCACTTGGGTGACTGGGCTGGCTCCTTCTCCAGGCTGGTTTCAGTCCCTGCAATTTTTCTTCTGAGGGAGCTGTATCTCGGGCTCTGCGTCTGGAGAGGCAGCAGTGGGATAAAACCTCTTGTTAGTCTGGTAACAGTTTTGGTGGGGGTTTCTGGGCTATTTTGCTCCCTCAGCCTGTCCTTTGCTTGGACCAGTCACGCAGGGGAGTGGTAGTGACCTGTGTTCAGAGTTGGGGTTGCCTTGATGTCACTGCCTGTGGTCCCTAGGAGTATCTGGTTTGTTAAAAGGCTGTTGTGGTGCGAGCTGAGCCTCTGTGAGCATG